CTAATAAAAAAAATATGGAAGGAAAATACTCAAAATACATACCTTCGACGATGATGATACCATAAGCTTCAAGCCACGGAAATCGATTTAACAAATTGGGTTTTTAAGAAACCAATTGCTTTGCTTATTTCACTTCGATTTTTAATGTTTATGTTGTGATTTAAACGAATTGATTTGCTACTGGAATTTTGATCGAATACGCACCGAATGGTTAAATGGTGATTGTGATAATGGTGGTTCTGGACGTCGAAGCCAAGATGATGGTGGTTCTAGACGATTTTTAAAGAAAGAGATGGGGTCATGGTGGTTTTATAGATTTGTGAAACTGATAACCTAAATTAATGGGATATTAATTGATTTTGTTTTATTTTACCATAATTAATTATAATGTAGATTACTCTTATACCCTTCTATTATTTATTATAATTTAAGTATTTCCTCAATTCTTAATAGTTCTTACAAGCACACAATAATTATTAGAAACATTTGAACCTAGTTCTATATTTGTTAATGTTTTATGGTGCTTTATTTACTTGGAAATATAATCGTTAGAAGCCGTCCATGTTATGTTATTTATATAATTTTACAAGTTTTTTAATTAGTTGATTAGTATGAATAATTATTTCATAAGTTTGTTAGTTTATTACTATATGAAATGTCTTGTTTGTTAGAATGAAGATGGAGGATGGGGATTTCACATTGAGGGACACAGCACCATGATGGGATCTGCATTGAACTATGTATCCCTACGACTATTAGGAGAGGGACCAGATGACAGAAATGGTGCTGTAAGCCGAGGCAGGAAGTGGATACTTGACCATGGGGGTGCCACCTCTATTCCATCATGGGGAAAAGCTTATCTTTCTGTAATTGTTTTGGCATCCTCATATCCATTTTTTTATTTTTATTGATTATCCTTTTTGTATGTCATGTCCTATCTCTTCATCACAATACAAATAAAAAATGAAATAAATTAAAATTTTATGACTTCCCAATACAAACCCCTTGTTTATAAATATAAATTTTCTTTCTATGTTTTGTGCACAGGTGCTTGGAGTGTATGAATGGGCCGGGTTCAACCCGGTACCACCAGAATTTTGGCTTTTTCCAGAAGCTTTTCCTTTTCATCCGGGTACTGATAAAACATCCACTTCTTTCGAAACAAGAGACAATTAAAAAGATATTTAAATGATCTCACAATATTTCTTAATTACATGCATGTGGTGTAGCAAAAATGTGGTGCTATTGTCGAATGACGTATATGCCCATGTCTTACTTGTATGGGAAAAAGTTCCATGGCCCTATAACTGATCTTGTTCTGCAACTTCGACAAGAAATTCATCCAATGCAATATGACCTGATAAATTGGAATAAACAACGCCATAATTGTTGCAAGGTTAGTAAACAATACGTTTTTATAAGCATAAATAATGTTAAAACTGATTACGAAAGAGGTTTTACTTTTGGACCATATATATGCGTCCCAAAACTAACGAAAACACAGGAAGATCTCGTTTACCCTCATTCAACAGTCCAAGACCTACTATGGGATGGCCTCCACTATATTTGTGAGCCGTTGTTAAAGTATTGGCCTTTCAACAAACTAAGAGAAAGAGCCATGAAAAGAACAATTGAATTACTACGTTACAACGCTGAAGAAAGTAGATACGTTACCACTGGAGCCGTTGAAAAGGTAAGCTATGTACCTATAAGTTGCGAGATTTGTTGATGATGATGCCTTGATATTCATTTTGGTCGATGATTAGAGACTGTGGAATGCATTTTACTTGTCTTTGGTTATTGGATGCAGTCCCTGCAATTGATGGCTTGGTGGGCAGAGAATCCAAACGGGGATGAGTTCAAGCACCACCTTGCTAGAGTTCCTGATTACCTATGGGTGGCAGAAGATGGAATGAAGATACGCTCTTTTGGTGGTCAAATATGGAATTGCACATTTGTAACTAAAGCCATAATTGGTAGTAATATGGTGGAAGAATATGGGGAAACGCTTAAAAAAGCTCATTTCTTTCTCAAAGAATCTCAGGTCAAGAATAATCCGTCTGGAGATTTCAGTAAAATGTTTCGGCAGTTTAGTAAAGGGTCATGGACATTCACCAACCAAGATGACGGTTGGCCAGTCTCAGATTGCACAGCTGAAGCATTGAAAGTAATGCCATAATTAACCTCATCTTCTATATATGTTCTTAATTTTAACAAAATAACATCGATATTACAATAAATATTTTCTTCTCATATTACATAAAACATGCATCCATGCAGTGCCTTCTTATACTATCCCAAATGCCAGTGGAAATTTCAGGAGAACAAGTAGATAATGAGCGATTATACGAAGCTGTCAATTTCCTACTTTATGTACAGTCTCCTATCAGTGGAGGGTTTGCTATTTGGGAACGACCAGTTCCAAAACCATATTTAGAGGTATATATATATATATATATATATATATATATATATATATATATATATATATATATATATATATCCATTATATTATCTAGTTTTTTAGATATGAAAGAAATGTTAGCGTTATTCTTTACACCTACTTTCTTTACAGATACTGAACCCTTCAGAGATGTTCGCGGATATTGTTGTTGAAAAAGAGTAATTAAGTTCTTGTGAATCCTTATATTTTATTAAATTATGAAATATATGCCAATGTTTCTCATTTTCGGTGATCCCATTAGGCATATTGAAAACACCGCATCGATCATCCAAGCTCTACTAGCCTTCAAACGTCTGCATCCAGATCATAGAGGCAAAGAGATAGAAAATTCTGTAGCAAAAGCAGTGCAATTTCTTGAGAAAAAACAGTTGCCCAATGGTGCATGGTAAGCCATTCATCCCCACCATTAATTCTCTTAGAAAAATGGATAATCGAAATTAATACAAAAATTTGGAATACAATGGAAAGTTCAATAAAAGAGTTGACATGGAAAATCTATGTGTCATTTAATTGATGAAACACTATCATCGTGATGCCTATCTTAAGTAGATTGATCAATGTAAAAAAGAAAGTTTCCTAATTCTTAAATAAATACTATATATATTAGTTTTTGTAATGTTCTCAACTTTGTAGAGTCCAATAAATTGTAGGAAATAAATGGCATGAGTTGTATGAAATATATAATGATGATGTGGTATTTTATTGAAGTGTATGGAGTTCAAAGAATTATATACATATATATGCCCTAAAAATGTATGAATTTAATTATAGGTATGGCTTCTGGGGGATATGTTATACATATGGTACATTCTTTGCGCTAGGAGGCTTGGAAGCTGCTGGAAAAACATATGACAATTGTGAAGCAGTTCGTAAAGCAGTCAAGTTTTTCCTTTCGATTCAAAATGAAGAGGGTGGATGGGGAGAGAGCTACAAGTCTTGTAATCGGGAAGTATACATACCATTGTCAGGGAATCATACAAACCTAGTTCAGACTTCATGGGCTATGCTTGGTCTTATGTCAGCTGGACAAGTTAGTTTTTCTATTATCATTAAATCTTGTATTAATTCTAACAAAAGCTATTGGTTGTCGAGGGTTAAAACATTCGTTTTTTCTTTATGAAGGCGGAAAGAGATCCAACACCTTTACACAAAGCAGCCAAGTTGTTGATCAATGCACAAATGGATAATGGAGATTTTCCACAACAGGTAACTGTTCATATGTATTGTTGTAGATAGTATTGGCAAATCCATCGGTATTATTACACAATGATAACTTGATATGATTGTGTAGGAGATCACTGGAGCCTCGTTGAAAAATTGCATGCTGCATTATCCAGTATACAGAAATGTATTCCCATTACTCGCTCTTGGAGAGTATCGAAAACGCCTTTGGGCTAATTAAAGTCGTCACTGAATTTCCAAATATGAATAAATCAATTACTTCAAAAGTGTGTGTATGAGTGGTTGATCTCAATAAAGTATATGTGCTACTCTGTAATAAAAAAAAACGATAGACAAAAGATCTTCCGAGATAAAAAGAAATTATCAAAACATAACGGTATTTCTATTATTTATATTTGCAAATGTGTTTCTCTCTTACGTGCTCAAAATGTTATAGTTGTATCAATAATAGTGACAACTATAATAGCAACATTTAAGCTTAACCTTTTTATATCGTAAGTTATCATGGAGAACTCCAAAATTCCTCCACCATTGTAAACAAGAGTTAATGGCCTATAAGGTATGTTTGTTTGGAGTGGTGGAATAACAAAAAGAATGGAAGTGAACTGAGTAATGGAATAGAAAAACTAATATATCTCACTACAAAAATTAGAAGCATTATCGGCCATGTCGCCACTAAAGGTTCTATTTGTCGCTGCTAATAGTTTTATCGTCCGTATCGTCGATATTGATATCACCACTAAAACGTTTCCTTTTAAATATTGTAGCTAATCTAAAAAAAAACAGTATTTAAATTACTATTAAAATCTATTAAAAACAATATTAAAATTGCAGAAAAAAAAATCCACATTGTTATATACGTGTTATATTAAATAAATCCTAACCATTGGATCTATAGATCTTATCGACGGTTAGGGTAATAAGCAAAGCAGGCACAAGGATCGTGAACGAGGGAAATACCAGTGACACAAGCTATAAACTGCGACAAAAATCGCATTGTTTTTTTTGTGGCCACTAAGGCTAAGAGGGGTTGTGATATTATTGGTAACTTGCCATATAAGCATTTAAAATGGCATATCATTTTTCTTCTTTTAACACTCACATTTAACATATACTAAGGAGTGTATCACTATTAGCACTCAATTTTTTGTATTCTTTTTTCTAATTTAATTTAATTACTATATTTTAATAAATATATTTTTTGTATTTACTTTTGTAATTTAATTTAATTACTTTATTTTAATAAACAAATATTTTTTTATTAAATATTAAATAATATAATTTAATTACTTTGTTTGAGATGAAGACATGATTTCTTGGTGAATTAAGAGAGAAGTTTTGTGAGAGATATGATATTTTGTGTGTAAATTGTTAAGAGTATGGTTTGATATATATATATATATATATATATATATATATATATATAATATATATATATATATATATATATATATATATTCAAAAACTGGTACATCAATTGAAATATCATATTTCTTACAAACATTCTCTCAATTCACCAAGGAATTATATCTTCATCTCAAACAAAGTAATTAAATTATATTATTTATTATTAAATAAAAAATACTTGTTTATTAAAATAAAGTAATTAAAATAAATTACAAAAAGTAAATACAAAAAATATATTTATTATAATATAGTAATTAAATTAAATTAGAAAAAAGAAAATACAAAAAATTGAGTGCTAAGAGTGATACCACTCCTTACTATGAGTTAAATGTGGGTGTTAAAAGAAGAAAAATGATGTAACATTTAAAATGCTTATGTGGTAAGATACCAAGAATGTCACCACTTCTCTTAACCTTAGTGACGACAAAAAAGCTGCATCCAATCACAACCAATCACGAGCAAAGGAAATGTTCTATTTCATCACGCTATGCATGCAGCGAGGTATCAATGGTGGGGCCCTAGCAAGAGCTAGGGGGCGGTGTTCCAAATAGTTGGCGAGCTATGGCGAGGAGTGTGACACTTCCACTAGGCTAAGCCTAATAGTTCGTGTCGTCGATATCTTGTAATGAGAATGGTATCTTAGGTTGATGTGAAATTTTTATTTTATGGGATATCAACATCATTTTCCCACCATCGGCCACAAATACGAATCACTTTTTAACAAAAAAAAAATTGCATGTCACTATTTATTTATTTAAGAAAAAATTTATCTAGATATTCAAAATATGAATAAAATAAAAGCATTTCATTCGGTAAAAAAAAATAACAACTAGATACATAAATAAAAAAAAAAAAAAATATATATATATATATATATATATATATATATATATATATATATATATATATATTGCATAAATAAAACTAAATGACATTACATAAAGACAACCATAGTTATTTTTTTTATATTTTAATCACTACAAGAAATTCAAGCTTTAGCAAAGACACCAATAGCGGTGGCATGGGTCTTCAACGACGACTAATGAAATAGTCGCCACTAAAGACCCATTTCGCCGCTAAAGGCTGAATGATACGGATCCGCTCTTTGACGTTCTAGTAGATATGAACCGTCCGATCGTGGTTATAATCCAACGACTAGGGTGGTTGTGAAAGGGATAAAGGAAATCCTAGGGGTGAGCATTTGGACCGGCCCGGACTGGACTGGCTCTTGGACCGGACCGGTTATGGGGAATTTTGTGGACCATGGACCGGACCGGATGAGTCGTGTCCGTGTCCGTGTCCGGGTCCAGGTCCGGGTTTTCCGGTTTTTGGACCCGTTTGGACCGGTACAACTTTAATTGCATAGAGTATATGTAATCTAAATTGATGTATAATATTATAACTTGCAAAATTAATATGTTTCCGTTTCATGCCTAAGTAATCTACACGATGTATAATATTATAACTTGTAATTTGCAAAAATTAATTTTCCAAATAAAAACAACTAACATATAAATCAAGTTCACCAACAAAAGTTAAACAATTTTAAGACAAAGATATAAAAGTATTACCGTGACAACAAAAATCATAGTTTAAACTTTAAAATCAATCTAACTAACAAACCTCATAAACTAATAATCTAATCTTCCACTGGCCTCTTCCCCATATCATTATCATCCATATTTTTTTCTCTATATAAACACAAATGAAAATGTTGTTAGTATTTAATAAAAAGTAATAGTTGTATAAAAATAGAATAAAGATTGTAATTTTTTTACCCAAAGTTATATCATCATCGTTCAAGATGTCAGCAACGTTGTCAACTATCGGATTTGTAGACTTTATCACCCAATATTGGACTCGAAATTATAGTATAAAAAAATACTAAAAAACTAGTCTGATACTCACTTACAACTCTACCACATATGATAAATGCGGACTCGAAATTATAGTATAAAAAAATACTAAAAAACTGAAATATTTCAGCTTTGATAGCTCTACTTTGAAGGATTGTAACTCAGTGAATAAAATACCAAAATAAACAAAATAATAGTCTAAATTCATCTACAAACTGTAAACTAAATGTTGGAAAAAACCGGAGGTCAATCCGACTTAAAACGAATGAGTTATGGGTGTTTAAAAAACGTCACAGATTACAAAATCTTGCTAAAAACTGAATTTTTTCAGCTTTGATAGCTCTACTTTGAAGGATTGTAACTTAGTGAATATGATACAAAAATAAACAAAATTATAGTCCAAACTCATCTACAAACTGTAAACTAAATTTTGGAAAAGATCGTTGGTCAATCCGACTTAAAACGAATGAGTTATGGGTGTTTGAAAAACATCACAGATTACAAAATCTTGCTGAAAAGCTGAATTTTTTCAGCTTTTATAGTTCTACTTTGAAGGATTGTAACGCGGTGAATATAATACCAAAATAAAAAAAAAATTATAGTCTAAATTTATCTACAAACTGTAAACTAAATGTTGGAAAAAACCGTATATCAATCTGACATAAAACGAATGAGTTATGATTGTTTAAAAAAACATCACAGAAATCTTAATCATGTCCAACCGGTTCTAAACCCGGTAAAAACCGGACCGAACCAGGAAAAAAACCGGACCAGACCGGAGAGAAATCTGAGAACCGAGAACCGGCCCGGGAGTCCAAAAAAATGGTCCGGTCCGGTCCGGTCCACCGGTCCAAATGCTCACCCCTAGGAAATACCAACGACTTTTGTTGCCGCTAAAGATTGAAAAATGACGCGGTAATAATTCCCTCCTTATAGTCGCCGCTATTGAGAACTGTCGCCGCTAAAGCCTAAAGTGTCCCTGGTAAAGGCATCGCCGCTAAAGGTCGACGCACTTAACCCCAAAATCGTCGATCTTCTCCCTTTTCTCTTCTGTTTCACTGCAAATCTCGTTTGTTTCTCTCATCTGCGTGGCTTGCTTCGTCACTTTCGTCGATTAGAGTGGGATATTGTCACATTTATCAATTTTGGTGAAGTTACCATCAGTGGGCAAGGATTTTTCGGTGAGGACCAAGTTTTTTCCGTCGAAACCAAACTTTTCTAGGTCAATTTACTATCCCTTTTCTCTTGTAACATTAATTTTAAGCTTATTGGAGTGGTTAATTGTAAAAAAAATTTCAATTTAAGTTTTGTTGATTGTGTTCCCAACCACCACCCGCCACTATCGCCACCACTGGACCACCACACACCACCACAGGTTTTATTACTTCTATTTATTGTGAAATATTAGTTTAATTGCAAAATATATGCATTTGTATCAATAATTTGAAAATTGTCATATGTATATTTGATATTTGTATGTGATTATATGTAAATTTGGTGTGTATAAGTCAATGTATGTGTGTTGGATGTATATGTGGTATATAAGTATTTGGTAGAAGTATGATGTTATTATCTATATATGTGAAATTATGTGTATTTGAAATAAGTAGGATGTTATTATATGTGTATGTGAATGTATGTATGTTTGTTGTGTATTTGGTATATGAATGTGAAATTTGTGTATTTTGTATAAATATGTTATTATCTATATATGTGAAAGCATATGTATTTGGTATAAGTAGGATGTTATAAAGCAACATTATACTAGTGAAAGTATATGTTGATTGAAATAAGCAACTTGTTATCTCAAACGTCCACAAATGTTGTGCTTTGGCAAATGCTTTTTGTGTGAATAAAACTCATAAAGTGGCAAATTCTTTTATTTGTAACATTGTACTTTTATAGCAACTTACTGTTATATATATATATATATATATATATATATATATATATATAATAGTAAGATGTAATAAAAGTACAATATTACTATTTCTATGCTTTTGTCTGTGTATATCATGGCTGCTATTATGGGTGATAAAATGCATGTTGATTTGGTAATTGTGTTTTCGCCCCAAGTGCAATAAATAAAAATGTACTTTTTGTATATCTTATATTTAATTACAAGAAATAGTAAGGTACTTTGGTAGTTTTGTTTATGT